TTCCTTTCCCATCTGTCAAACACACGTTGCCGTTTCCCCTACCATTCCTAGCGAGATATTGCAGTGGTGGTTAACCAGTCCTGTCAAAAACTCCAAGCGAGATGTTACGGTGGTAAACCAGTCCTGTGAAAAATTTGTTTCATCGAAAACAATTAACTTGGTCCTGGTTGTCCTAGTTTTTACAGAAACCTCGTTTTATTGCACCATCACTTTAATCAGTTGCGTGTGGGTGTGACTGGAGACGGTGCATCTCACACCACCACCACCATGGAGGTCTCCAGTCCTTTTTCCTCGTGCAAGCAGCCCATGTTATTCCGTTTGTGTCAGATTGACGAAATAGTTGCTGTTTTTTTAATAATTTGGTTCAGCCACAATTTATATTCAACAAATGTCAAATCCATACAAGCCCCCACCCGCGCTATGGCGAGTCCCAACCAACTATGTTCTTCCAGTGTCACCAGGGACACCATGAAACCCCTGTGGAATGAAGCCTTCTTATCTGATTCCCTTCTCCTTAGTTGGGCCTGTCTTGGGCTCACCGAAAACGTGAAGGCTTTTGAACATCTCTGTTACGAAGGTGAGCAGCTTTGCGCTGAGGCATCAGAACGCATGTCAACCATTGTGTCTTTGATCACAAAATATTTGGAGGACAATGCTGTTGCCTCCGATTCAGTCAGTGATGAAGATGACAACAATGGGGACAAGAAGAGGAACCGATTTAAGGCTAGAAAAATTGTCAAACAATTGTCAACTCTTTGTTCACCAGGAAAGAAAATCTTTAAATTTTTTAAGGAACAATACAAATCAAAGGCRTATGATGCTACRAACACGATCAAATCTATGGATAAGAACAATCATGGTACTGCCAATGCCCAGATGGAAACGATCAATTTCAAGAATGGACAAGAGAAGATGAATTTGCTCCTCATTGTGCAAGATTTGTGTGCACTTTGTGACAAAGAATCTAGTCCCATCTACAAGTTATGGGCCACTGTAATGCCCCTCATCCAGAAACTGAACATTCGTGTATCTACCGCCGTACAATCTGATGGGGCAGCCGATTGGAAACTCGTGGAAGATTGTTTGAATCGACTTGTTGGTGCTCTGGATGAATTGGACAACCCAGTCCAGAACGATGAAGATACACATGACAAAGCAGAATTCGAATATGAACCATATTATATGGATGATGATATGACGGCATTGTTGAAACGCCGCAAACTGACTTCATTGAACTTGAAGGCCAACGTACTTCTGGAAACACCACAACCACAATCCAAGAAACAGAGAAGATCCCTTCCTCTGTCAGCATCCCGGGCTGCTGGCACTGACAAATCTGGTTCTGTCATTGAAGAAAACAATGGTTCAAATCATTACGAGGTATCCAGGAAGCAAACCAAATATTCGAATATGTTTAGTGATTCCCTCGTGAAACGACCAGATTGGCGATGCACTGTTTTATGGTCGAAAAACAAAGCTAACCGAAAGGATCTGTTGAAACCCAATCTCCAACAATACTTTCCTGATGTTGTTGTTGCTGATCTTACTGTTGGAGCAGTAGAAGGGACTCTCCACCCTCCTCAGACAAATGCTGCTTTGAGTGATGAGAAACTATCCGATAAGGAGCAAACAACTCAGGAGCGAAAGTTTCGATGCTTTAATGTCAAGACCGCACTGAAATTCTTTCTCCGCTACATGTTGTCNCCGTCCGGTCACCGAGAAGGGCACGTGCCCGTTGCAGCCCGTGTCGGCACGGGTCCGGAGCGTGCTTCGTGGTTTCCCGTGCGATGCTCGTTCTCGGAACGGCTCACCACCAAACAAACCCTTCCGTGCCGTAAAAAAATACGTGAGGAGCAACCCAACGCCGCGGCAGAGTGGGTCCGTGCCCGTCGCCGATCGATGCGATGGGACCACCACGGTACACAAGACACCGTAGTATTCCGCACGGCACGGCACGGCAGGATGCGGGTGGAGCTCCCCGGTATGGGAGCAGGTGTGGTATGATGTCCCGGACAGCGGCACAATGGTTGCGCCGTGGGATGTGTCGATCTTTGGGAGGGGAAGCCTTGTCCTCTTCCACAGTGTTGCTACCAAATGCCGCAATGGCAACGAAACTTATGCAACCCTCCCACACMAAACCAACGACAATCAACCATACCTTCCAAGGCAAGAGCATGTTCAACACGACGCAACATAGCACAATACGACGTAGCTAGCGCAATGCCTCCGAAACAACGAACGATAGTATGGTGGGAGGAGAGACACAAGAGACACAAAAAAGGAAACAGGTACATTGGGGAAACGAATCCCGATAGCAGTACTCCTTTTKTTGTTGTTTGTTGCAAAGAAAATTGTTTCGCAGCAACGACGAGAGCGCGTTTCTGGTGAGGAAGCCAGCAAGTGGTGTTTGTTGCTTCCGCGGGGGAACATGCCGCTGCACGCACCAAGAACATTGTGCGCAGCAGCAACGACGCGTCGATGGCGAAAATGGTTCTTGTAGTGGCTGTCCTGTGTTCCGAACACACCAGCACCTTGTTGTACGAACGGTACAATCGCGGCAACTGTCCCCAATTCACGGCTTGTTCGGCGGTATCTCTCCGTTTCGGRACCGAGCCTATCAGAGGACGAAACGCWAGAGRCATCGCCGAAGAAGGTTTGAATTMKGCACAACAGCCGTTCTRGCACCAATCCCTGCGTGRTGGATGGCCGACCGTAGTGGTGACGAGTGCATTCTCCGGGACAATAYGGCGCGTTTGTGTGTCTTGCAAACCGGTTGCCTTGGTACCGTACGACGGCGTTCGGCACTCACCATGCGTGTGCGGATGCATGCATCGTTGTTCCTTGTGGTGTCTATCCCTCCCCATCCCCTTGGCACCATTCCGATCTCCATSTGGCCGGCCACCAACACTCGAGGCATTGCGCCGTRCGATACCACCAAGCGAAAAAAATGCCACAACGCGGTGAGACACAACGCCCGTATCTCGAGGACGATCCCGATCTGTGGTTGGACAGGTGTGCGTGCCGAATGTTGTCGGATGGAATGGCGAGTGCAGATGACGTTGCATTCGGGACAGGAACGCCTGTGTTCGGTTTGGCCTAATGGAAGGGTTGTCGCGAGTGGCGGCACTGGCGGTGCGACTACGCTACACGCACTTGTGCTTCCTGTTGTTTCGCGCAAAACCTCATTTTTCGGTGAAGGCTAAAAAACAACAAGGCTYGTCGCTTCCAAAAGGCCTGCTCGTAGAACATAGTACTGGTTCTACGACGTTTTGTCAAACTCGGAAAAATCGGCTCTTTTTTCTCACCAGGCCCAAGTGCTCGTCATCGCTCTCAATCCATCCATGAATACGGCACGACTACGAAAACAAAATACCAGTACGAGAAAAATACGAAAACAACCACGAATACCCGCCAAACCCCACACCTYTGTGCTGTACGGTATGGATACACTAGCTCTGTACTGTAGTGAACCTTGCTGTACCTTCAGGTAGGGTACTGTACGAGCTTACCTTGTATTGTACATCCTCATTTCATTCTTTCTTTGACGCGAACGTACCGGTACTGGACACCGTACGGTACAATACCATGCGACCTGCCTTYACAGGAATGATGGACATACCGTACCGTCGTCCCGACAGAACCACCAACCAACGAGAGAAAAATTACGAGTGCCGGTGTGACGAKACTGAGCATCTCACATTTAGGCTCCCGCATCGCAGAGGAAACAAAACAATAAGATATCTGCCGATCAAACCAACCTAAAGTGGACCATCGAAGACAAACCTCTCGTCGTGGTAAATTTCGCTGGTACATCTCTGGCAGAAATCCAGCACAAACGAAAACAAACGCAACAAAGATATAGACACCAAACAAAACCCAGAACCCAGACACGATGTCCCGCAAAGCCCGAGAAGACAAGTCGGCGTGGAACATGCCCCTRATGTACGCCTTTGTGGGAGAATACGGGCCGTTCAAAACGAGGGGGTACGAGCCCATCCAGAACACGCTGATCTGGCTGTGCAACAGCAAGCGYGAACGGACCCAACTGCGGGACCAGGCAACAGCAACGAAACGAAAACTGAAGCGAACCGAAAAGCACCCCATGTTCTCCGTGGCGGGCCACCTCCAGCACGAGCTAGTGGCGAACCGGAACGACCCGAGCGGAGGGACGGAACGCTATTCCTCCGTTTTGGTCGTAGACCTGGAGGACATGTTTGCCAACGAGGAGGACTACGRTGCCGCCCTGGCGAAGGAACTCGAGGAGGTGGAACTCACCAAGGGCTTTGGGAAAAAACTGCTGCGCCTCTTCCAGAAACTCTTGCTGGTGGAGGCAAAGGTGGCGGCCAGGGGTGAACTCTGCGGGGTCCTCCTGAAGCTCTACCAGGCCATTCAAAAAATGGACGACGCCTCGACCCACAACAATAACAACAACGGTAGCAAGAAGAAACACAGCGCCAACGGTGGCAAGAAGAAAGGCAAGCCGGCGCCAAGCCAGGACGCCATCTACACGATCTCGGAGCTCTGGTTGCTGGACCCAGAGCTATCGGCAAAGTACATCAACACACACATGGTCGCCACGACGGGTTCCAGGGCGAACACGCATCCGGTGCAGCTCAACGTGGTGTCGTCGCCGGGGGCCCCGGCGAGTTGCTCGAAACGAACGGCGGTGCTGAAGCATTTCTTTCCCAACCTGGGAACCGACCTGGTGGTGGAAAGCGGCAAAGAACAAACACGCAGCAAATCCAACGACGACGACACCGCAGCGACGGAACCCACAGCACCGAACTGGTTTTCCATCATCTCCAACCGCCGGGCTCCCGAGGAGGTCGATTCCCCCGCGTACGATCCGTCCGTTTGCAACGATCTCGGAAAAATGCTCTTCGCCTCGGTGCTGARGGTCGAAATGAACAAGCATTCGAAGCAGTACGAGCGCAACTGCTTCGAGATGACRCAGGACCTGCTGCTGGAGACGGTGGTRGAAACAGGAGACGGCGACGACGAAGACCAGCCCCTCGACCGCAAGTCCATCGACTGGTCCTCGTGCGAGCRCCACGTGGGGGCACTCATCCTGCGGGGGAACCGGTGCGTCCTGGCACGATCGCTGGACAAGAAATGGAAGGGGATGCGGATYCCCTCCGTGGTACCGGGGCCGAGCGAGTCYCCGGTGGAAGCCGCGATCCGTGCGGGGACGGAGTTCACCGGGGTCGACGCGGACGAGTTGCTCCCCCTCCCGAACGTCCTTCCGGTGGCCGTCTATGCCCCGGGCGGCCGGGCCCTGATGGTAGAGCTGTACCCGCTGTATGCAAAGTTCCCGCCCCCCGACGGACCCCTCGAGGACGCCGACATGGAGGACGACGAGACGCCGTACGATTGGTACACGCTGGCCAACGCCACGGTCCGGCTTGGGAGCGACACCGCCTCGGTATCGGCCCTGCAGGGCATGGCGCTGAACCTGGTGCAGGCGGCAAACGTGGGGCTGGTTCCTGCCAAGTGGGGCGGGGTCTTTGGGCAGGAGCTCCGGCAGCGGATCGGGGACAGCGGCACGGAAGCCAGCGCGGGCGCGGCGATCGCCGCGTCCCTGGAAACCAGCGTCGAGGAGTGGAAGCCGACCCGGCAGGGAGACGTCCTGCAAGACGTTCGAAAGGCCAACCGGGCCCTAGCGGAAAAGCTCACGGCGAATCACCAGAACGGGGCCCGCAGCACAAAGCTTCCGGTGACCCTCCTCTCCGGCTTTTTGGGATCCGGAAAAACGACGMTCCTGTCGCACATTCTGTCCAACTACGAGGGCCTGAAGGTCGCGATCCTGGTCAACGACATGGGGGAGATCAACATCGACGCGGCCCTGATCCAGAATGGCGTCAGTGTGCGCCAGAGCAAGGAACACATGGTCGAGCTTTCGAACGGCTGTATCTGCTGTACCCTTCGGGAGGACCTTCTGGTGGAGGTCGCGGCCATTGCCGCCGATACCTCCTTTGACTACCTGCTGATTGAATCTACGGGTGTGTCGGAGCCCATGCCGGTGGCCGAAACCTTTACCTTTGAGGATTCCACGGGGCTGAGGCTGGGGGACATTGCCGAGATCGATACGCTGGTCACCGTGGTGGACGGCTCTCGTTTTATGAGCGAGATGCACTCTCTCGAAAACCTCCAGGCACGCAACTGGCACGCCGATCCGGAGGACCAGCGGACCATTTCGCACCTGCTSTGCGACCAGGTGGAATTTGCGAACGTCGTGATCCTGAACAAGTGCGATCTCATCGGGGACGACGAAAGGGTACAGGTGAAATCACTCATTCGAAAAATGAACCCGGATGCCCGCATCCTCGAATCGAAGTTCGGCAACGTTCCCCTGGATTGCGTGCTCGGAACGCGGTTGTTTTCCATGTCCGACGCCGAGAAGCACGAGAAGTGGCTGCAGGAAGCCCGCTACGGCGAACACACACCCGAAACGGAGGAGTACGGCATCGGAAGTTTTACGTACCGCGCGAGGAGGCCGTTTCTACCCGACATGCTCGAACGGGTGCTGGAAGACCTGCTGGGGGGAACGGAAGTCCCGTTCGATTCCTCGAAGATCATTCGAGCCAAGGGCTTTGTGTGGCTGGCGGGCTGCTCGCAGCTCCAGGGTGATTTTTCGCTGGCGGGCAACCACTACTCGCTCCTTCCCGGCAATCCCTGGTGGGCAGAAATCGACAAATCRCACTGGCCCGAGCACCTCGAGAGCAGCATTGCTCCCCTCTGGCACGAACCGTACGGGGATCGCCAGCAAGARATTGTCTTTATCGGGCAGGGGCTGGACCGAGAGGCCGTGTGCAAGGCCTTTGACACGTGCCTGGTGCCCCCCGACTCGATGGAGGCCGGCCAGGAAACCTGGGACGCAATGGTGCACGAATACGGCGATCCGTTCGCAGAAACCTGGGACGCCGCCATTGCCCTCGCCCAAAAGGAGGGAGAAGGCCACAGCCATGACCACGATCACAGCCACGAGGCCGCCACCGCAGCGCAGTAACCGGCCCAATAGCCTATGCAATTGTGTTACAAATCTTGCGATAGCGTTTTGAATCTGATGTAGTCCGCGACTCGTGCTTAGCTGTACTGCGCTTGGAATGGGACCATTAGGATACTAAATCGGGCTTGTGTGCGTTGCGTTTGTCGTTCCACTTAAACATCCATTTCCTAGTAACCCATGATAATGTACTATGGTATTCAGAATTCATAGCTGTTCTCGTTTATTCACCAATACCGTATGGTGGTATGGTACGTATATACCATACGAATACAATAGTAGTTCACTTGGTATGTACGTACTCGTACTACTACATCATACAGCAAATATTTATGAAGAGTACTATGCTGTACCGGTATGCTGTATGATCTGCTGGTGGTTCAAATGGGATGAACGAAAATCGACATGAAAGATTTTCTCGGAGTCAAAATGGGATGGGATTGAGAATGCATAGCGACGATGGCAAAAACGACGAGCAGGAGCTCGAGTAGCACCCAAACGACGGCCTTGTTGTTCGGAATTCTCGATCCGGTCCTGCAGCCCCTCCTCGAAGACCTAACATCGCTCAAGGAATTGCTGGTTCGATTGAACCGCAACAGGACTGCACCTTTCTCCTCGACGGACGATCGACGCCACCGCGATGACGAAGAGAACTTTGTCCGCCTTTCCAATAGGATCGCCRAGGGTTTTGAGTCCTTGTCCAGAAGCCTTAGGCTGACTTCTCTTGCGGACGGCGGTGGTGGGAAGCATCAGCAGCAACACCAACACGCCACATCGCTCTGCCTATTGGCGGATTACGTCACCTTGCCCCTTACAGCAATATTTCATCTTCCCCTGCGAGAAATCTTGACAAACGCAAGCGAAGCAGAGGGGTGCAATCCATCCCCAAAAGRTGATCCCGGACAAGAGAAAGAATGGCGGCGACGGCTCGCTATGCGTCGGTCCCGTGTGTTTCGGATGTACCGTTGCGCGGCCTTTGCGGTTCAAACCTACGTAGAGGAAACATCGCTGGGCACACGCAACAACAGCGACGGTGATGCGACGAACGACAARATCATCAACAACCACGAGATCTGCAACAACGGAAGCCTGCTCCCGAGCGAGGTGCGGATGAAATGCCTCGTGGCACTGGTTCGAACCATGCCGTCCTTTTCGGAACTCACGGAGGCAGGCGGCAGCGAAAGCGGTTCCGGTGGAGCCGCGGCCGGAGCTCCCTGTTTGGACGACGGAAGAGACGATTTGTGGAGGATCGTTCTGGACGCTACCAGCTGTCTCTTGGAAACCTTTGGCACCGGCCGTCGCCGGAACGATCGCGAACCCGAGACGATCGGACACGATGACGGCGATCCGGTGCGGCTCTTGGAGGCCTGGCACGGGACCCTGGGCATGCGGCTGGTCGATTGCCTGACCGCCTTTCTGGGAAACAACAACACTAGCAGYAACAACGGCGGCAGCGCAGTGGGTGCGAACGGCGGTGGCCGCTTTTCGCCCCTGGTCCAGCGCTCGGCGCTCGGTACCCTGCTGGTCTTGCTCGAGGTCACGGCTGCCGTTCCGGGCCAGAAATCATCACCATCACCACAACAATCCACTGCCACCAAATCGTGTTCTTCATGCATCTTCTGGAGGTCCGTCTTTCCCGGGGTGTTTACAGCGCTCTATCAGCGAGTGATGGATGGTAGCAGAATCAATAGCAGCGCCAATGCAAGAACGAAGAACCTCCCAACAACGGTCCAAGAGCTGGGACTGGAATCAATGATTGGTCTTCTAAGGGCCACGTTGGTAGTTTCGAAGCCACTGAAAGTCATTGRAGCGACTTCCACAGATCACAAACAAAAYGCGAATGTCGTTGTTGAGAACGAACACAGCAGCAACTCGAACAACGACCTTTTGGCTAGGCTTACTTCTATGGCGGCAGCTGCGAATCGCGAACACGAAGAAAACAAGAGCAACGAGAAACGGGGAAAAGATAGCAACTCTTACCACGAAATACCAAAGAAGCAAGACGATCAACAACGACCAGCAGCACCACCATCCGAACCAGAGCCGTTTTTCCGCAAGGTTCAGCAGCGGGTCGAAGGACCCCTGCTCGTTTTGTTGAAATACACATCGGTGGCTCCGTCCGATGCCACCCGGAGGAAGGTCGTGAGATTGTGTGGGTTGATTCTCTTTGAGGCATCGAAGCAGCTGGTCTGGAGCAGCATGGTCGATCGGATCCGTTCCGAATCTTCCGCTGCATTCGTGCCTTCGGCGTCCGTCATGGAGAAGGTGTGTTTCGAGCTCTGCATCGGGTTCCAGCAAGATACCGACGGCGTTGTACGCATTTCTTCGAGAGAGGTAATTGCGAAATACACTCGGCTGGTTCTCGTTGCCGAGGAAAATCACGGCGACGAATCAGTTCCAAAAAAAGAAGGATGCGAAAACGGATCGTTGCCATCCCTTTCGTCGGGTTGGATGGCGCCTCGAATCATTGAATTGGTACAAACAGCGTCGGCCCGTGTCCAAAACAGAGGGGATGTTAGCGCTTCTGATAGCAGCAGTAGTGGAAGAGCAATAATCGACGATGTCACTGGTATTGAACTACAGTCAGAAATGAACCTGATATCTGGTTATTTACGATRTCTRAACGACGACGATGCATACACGAACCAAAACTATCGGCGTCGCGAAACGACTCGTAACCGCGACAAYGATACCGAGAAGAAGGATTCGAGGACTATCCCTCACGAGAAAACAACAGCACTCACTACAGTTATCACGAGGAATGTCGAGAGCAAGAATAATTCAACCTTGTGCGTTGATAGTTTGGCTCGAGAGGGGGTGCGCAGTGCCCTCGTGTCCTCCAAACAGCTTCGCAAGAGCCTGATCAGTAAGTCTTTTTGTTATCGCGCGATGCGATGAAACGACGTCCGTACGGTTTTGTTTYTCCCAGAAGAAGCTTCGCGTCGATTCGTTCAATGTTGTGTGTTGGTTATGCTAACTCGACTATTTTCTCTCTGTCTGATTCATGGCGGGATCCACTAATTAAAAGAGCTATTTGAYGTTGATGTAGATTCGTTGAACGAGAATACACACAAAAAGTTTGTGCCCATCGTCACCATCGATAAAAATGACATAAAAAAGACCCCAGTCAAGCTCCGATACCTCCATCGTCCGGACCTGATAAATCTGTCCAGAGAGACCATTTTGMAATCTCTTGGGAAGTTGCTGGGTCCAAAGAATGGTGCAATTTTCACAGACGAGGTGTTGTCAGATTTCATGCAAGCTAGCGCCCGCATACCAAACATTGAAGGCAACAATTATTTTTCGTCGTCGTCGACTATGGAAGACTCGTATGATTGCTGGCTCCATGAGTGGGTAGGGAGCCTAATCGTAGCGCGTGATATTCTATCTGGTTCGTTCTCTGGGGTAACTGGGGTGGGCGAATCTAGGAAGGAAGAAAGAAGAAAACGACGAATACTGCGATCGCTTGCATCCTCCATTTTACCGTTGCTTGTCGGTTCTTCTCTTTGGAATCTTTCTATCGAAGGTTCTTCTCTTTGGAATCTTTCTATCGAAAGCAAAGGTTCCTCAACAGCTTTGTCACCGAAAATATTCCAGAGAAACACCATTGTGATGGTTTTGCTATTGGAATTGATCAGGGAGTTTTGCTTCGTTTTGTGCAAGGATGTGCAACACTTTCTACCGCACATATTGTACCCGATAATCGACAAAACTATCCGTGGTGGCTCTACSATGTGTGCGAACGTCGTCCAAGCTATGGGATTATCAACTCTCGAGATCTTGAGCGTCTCCTGTGGGTTACGGAGCACCGAGGATCTGATTTTTTCGGAACAAAATCAGCTGATGGCTGCGCTAGTGGGTCGGTTACGTTTGCCTGGGGGATCAAACGCACCAGGAACTTATAGCGAAGCACAAGAAATAATTTCTGTCTGCAAAAACTTTTTATGGGTGATTAAAATGATAAAAAGCAGAAAAGAAAATACCGACGCCAAGAGAACAAARTCCAGCATCGTGGACTTTGTATCTCTTCTAGACTACCGATTGGATCATCTCTTTCTAAAAAAAWTGCTTCACGATACCGACGTCGAAACCATATGTTCTYTACACAAGGCATTTTACGAATATTTCCTCTATATTTTTGACGTCCAGGCAGATCGTATTTATTCATACAAGTCAAACGGTTCACCCAACCATGAAGCTCGGCAATCGTGGCTCGGAATACTGTCCAACTTTCGGCACAATAATCCAGAAATTTCGGATACAGACAACGAGKGTGGAGCAGAATCAGATGAAGGTAACATATTGGATATAGACAAGACCGATGTCGCGCTTTTTGCAAAACTTGTAGCCMGGGACTGTTACCTCTTATCACACCAAAAGCTATTGAGTCGCGTGTCGTCTTGCGATGCGCTGACTACCGCTTTCAAATTTCTTGCTTTTGTGGGAAGCGAGCACAAGGTAAGGTCCAAACTTATTGTGGCTAATTGATCCCGCTTTGGTGTCCGAAACCACCAAAAACTCATTTCTAATTTTGGTCTGGGTTTTTCTTTTTTTTTTCTCCTAGGATCCGTCGGATGATACCAACTTCATGCAGAACTCTGTACTTCGACAGGTCGCTGAATCGTGGCCCTCTATCAGAGCACGACTCCGAACATTGTCGGAAGAAGTTTTGGCGTCGAGCAGTATTGATAATTCCTCGGTAGTGCTTGTGTTGARTCAAAGCAAAGTGGGGGCACAGRAGAGGAGTTTAATATCCRAAGACGTTGGTGTCCAGAGAATATTCCTCTCCAATTTGTTTGCATTGATTGCTGCAATGTGTGAATGTAGCGGAGATTTCTTTGCTGACCGCTTTCGACATGATGTTTGGCCTGCCATGGCTTGTCACCTWGAGCTGTTGYTCAAGAAGCTGCAAAGACACAGAGACTCTCATTCAAGATCCCTTGTGCCGTTAACGATACCGAACGATGCAATTAACAATATGAGTGACTCCGAACGGCAACTCATTGATTCAATTCTGACTTGCTTAAATCGAATAATCGGGCAAAACGAATGTKGGAGAGCGGTTGAGAAGTTGCTCGGTTCCATTGGGTTTACTCTCATACCCCTCYTTGACATCGAAGGCGAACTACGTATTCAAGAGCTGGCAATGGAATGCATCAGAAACATCATAAGAATCGATAGTGATRTTTTGAGAAGGCCACTGATGGAGCTGACTGGAAATAGAATACCTCCCTGCTTGTCGAAATTTGGAAACAAGAAATTGAAGAATCATTTGGTTGTCGTTCCCGTGTCCATAGAGAGCAAAGAAATCATGGCGTTCCGCTGCAGCAAGCTCCTAGAGCTTGCGGACTCACTGCCGGAACAGCCTATCTCGTAGCCCCAGCTGCATATCAGAAGTGAAGCAGCCGGAAACGAAGAATCCTCGTAAGTCGACAGATAATTCTTCTAATGAAAGATTGGTTTAACAAAGGAATCAACTTCTGGAAGTTGAAAAATTGATAATATACTGCAAGAGAAGAACCTTTTAAACAATTTTTTATGTGCGGTAACACGGTTTTCATGTAGCAATGAATGCTCTCTTTGTACGGTTGGTCGGACTGGGTTGGCAGAAAAGGCGAGAAAATTGTGCAAAATAATCTTTCTTGCGATGGTTGCGTTACGGCAAGTCTCAGAGTTTRGTGATGTGTTCTTTCTTCGCTGAAATTTGAGCATTCCTCGGTACTCTAATTATAGTGAAGAAGGCTCTACCAGAACCCACTCCTCTCACAGTCMTAGTAGGTAGATGTTATGGGAACATCACGGAGTCCTGCATGGTTGTCAACAATGCTTATATTCTTGGTAGAAAAGAAGCGTTGCTCTCACCTTGTTCCGTTTCACTGTCTTGAAGACAATGACAGGGATTTGGGAAAGCCATGTTGCAGGCAGAGTCCACAACATTGCTACCCATGCGGAGTGAAATCTTTTGAAACCATAAATTCGTCTCCAAGCCACCMGAACGATCGCCCCGGATCGTGTCGCCAATTTCACCCCTCGAGCACGCCCACAATCCAATGGGCTGCGAATCGATTGTCCTTTCCCTCGATYCGGGGGAGCGTGTGGAYCGAGCCCTGCATGGGCGGGTGCGCTAGAACGTGYGCACAACACGCTGAGAATTCAAACAAACGAAGAAGCCGTTCCAGCCGCTTCGTTGAAGGAATCCGAATCCGGTCCGGTTGGGTGTCGCCCGATCGAGTCGAGCAGACCGCAGCCAAGGGCAGCACGGCGTGGCAAAACAGAACATTCCCTGGCATCTCTATTCGTATCGATAGCCGTGCGGGTGGTTGTCCATTCGCAATGTTGTGGTCGGCTATGGTTCCTCGTAGGTGTAGCCCAGAATGTCCATCATCCTTGGATCCAGGAGTTCTTTCACCGCCTCCAGCTGGTTGGCCGGATACCCGATTCGGCGGTTCGCAATGTTCCCGTACTTCACGATGCTCCGGAGGAGGCCCGTGTCCATTCCCGCCGAGACGTCGATGCCGTGGTTGGCATTGGCGACCGTGGAGGTGTGGCGAAACAGGTCCGTGTTGTTGCCCCAGAGGTACTTGCTCCCCGCGCACTCGCAGAGCTGTGGAACCACGGTCGGTCCGTGAAAGACCAGGTCCTCCATCCGGACCATCACGTAGGGCATCTCTGGTGCCTTCAGTTTCGGAAGGGTACCCTCGGGGCGATCTCCGTCGTCGCCCTCGAACTCGAGGTAGGATTGGTACCATTCGTTCCATACGTGCACCAGCGATTCGTGGTGGACCGTCCAGCCTTTGGTGTACTTGACGTTGACCGGGACGTACTTCTTGTTCCCGTAGCGGGGATGCGCCTTGATGTCGCTCGGGTACGGGATGATRTTGGGGCACTGGTCCTTCGCGAAGGCGAACTGGGCCGCATAGTTTTGCCGGCACATGCTCTGCATCCACGTGTAGGGGTCCCGGATCGACACCACCGGCAGTGTCGTGTGGTAGGGCTTGTCGCGATACAGCTTTGCCTGCCCTGGCTTCTTGAAAGAAATGGTGTGGTTGGTCCGTGAGTTCCCCGGGAAGTGCTTGCCCCAGATCGGCTGCCAGAGGACCTTGGAACGCAAGGAAAAATCGCAGTTGGCGTGGAGCAACTGGGCCAGCAGGTTGGTCCCACTGTTGAACATCCCTGCCGGAGCCATGTTCCGCTTGTGGGGCGGGACAACGTCCCTGTAGTGCTGACAAAACTCCAAACCGACGACGCGGGGAGGTCCGTAGGCCGCCAAGACCTCGGACCAGCGGGGAAGCTTCGATCGATCGATGCCTTTGTTCTTTTCGGAAACATCGTATCCKCCCTGTTCTAGAATCTTCAGGATGGGTTTGAGGTCGTCTTCGATGTCTTTCGCAGTGTCAATGTCAAACTCCACGTCGCCTAGTTCCCCATTTGGATCTTTCGCGCTACCGTTTTCGTCTCCCCTGTCGTCATTGTCGTCGTCGTCCACTCCTCCGCCACTCTCATTGTCGTTTTCGTTTTCGTTCCCGTTGTCGTTGTCGTTTTCGTTTTCGTCCCGCTTCTTCAAGTTTCTGCCGTCTGGCATCGCTTTCCTTCCCTCCGCCAAAAAGATTGGCGACGAATGCGAAGGTGACCACACGTGGCTCGAAACAGCAGAAACATGGTGTTCCAAGACGTGCATCTGAATGACCAGCATGGTCGCCGACAACGCCACGACCAGCAACAGAAGGTACTTGAGCACCGTCAGCCCTCCCATTCTGGAATTYCGCGTCTGGTGAATCTCGATTTTGTTGGTTTTGTGGTTGGTTGGTTTGGTGTTTTCGTCCTCCCCTTGTTTTGATTTTCTTCCGGTGGGTGTTTCGAGGCAAAAAAGTGAAAACACAAACGAGAACGGCAATGAACTACAGTAATACAGTATTTTTTAGCTGTGGTGGTAGTATCAATGGAGCCGATCCCGGTACTCGTAGTATCGTGCTCGCTCGGTTGTTCTCCTCGGGACCGATTGGGCTATCACGATACCGGTACCGGTACATCATGCTACATGCTACACATGTTGTAACAACATATGCTACCTACGTATAAAAGATACTTATTAGAAGACGTAGAATCGTCAGTCCACCAAGCATCGTTTGTTGTTTGTTCTGCAAGTTCGCTACTCGTAATGTAACGACATCATGACTACCAGTCGTACGTACGTGCCGTACGAACAAACGAGATACGAACAAATCTTTCAAATTCTTTTCATCACTACCGTATGATATACTCGTACACCAAAGTTTTCGTCGACTTCATTGCCTCCATTGTATCACATGCCATGGAGAATCGCTGTGGCAGCACGAGTGCGAGTATTTGTTGAGTCGGTTCAAACCATCAGCGAAGAAAAGATTTTTCGTTTGATCTATCGCATGTTCCTGCATGGTGCAAACCCGGTCACCATCACAAAAGGATCCCTTGTTCTGTTCCCGCTGTGCGTTCGTTTTGAGGACGAGTCGGTTTTTGTCCACAGTGTTGTTGCTGCTGTTGCTGCTGCTGCAATCGGCCCGGGGTCTTCGGATTTCGGAGGGCTTTGCGATGGGCTCCAAACTACCCGACGCAAAAACCGATCCGAACTCGTACCAGAACGACGATCGGACCCTGTACCACCTCCCCCCACCGCCCCGCTGTGAAAGACACCACACGGAACGAGACGACTACGATTTAGACGCGCTGGCGACCGCACTGGAAACAGATGGCGTYGTCGTTCTTCCRGACGTCTATTCCAAAGAACAGATCGAGGCCTTTCGGGAGGCCCACTCGCAAAACTTTTCGATCGTGACCAAGCTCATGGCGGGTCGGGACGTCCGCCCAATCGACAAGCCCTACCGGCACGATTTCGACACRAAGCGGTACTACCTCATGCCACACTATTCCATCGAAGACGAGGAGACCGGCGAGTCGGACGAGGTGATCGAAATCAGCCCGGGCCGGCTCGATTATACCTTTGGCATGAACCCGTACTGGGACGACGACGAGGAGGAGGAGGAGGAAGAAGAGTGCGGGGACGAAAAAAACCCGTTCGCTTCCCTTGAGTTTCGGCGCCCCAAGATACTCGCCGAACTGATGGATCGAATGCTCCGCTCGGATTATAAATCCTATGCGGGGGCACTACCCGTCTCGGCGGCAAACGACAACGATAGCGACGACAACGAAAGCAACAGCAATGTTCCGAGGGACGGACCCTGGCACCGGGATGTCTACCTCCTCTTCGACGACGAGACGGTCGACGTCGGGCTTCCCCATCCGTATTACTTCACCGTGCTGATCCCCCTGGTGGAAACCAGTGCCGAGAACGGTGCGACGGAGTTCTTGCTGGGGAGCCACAGACAGACCTGCGGGGAGGCACTCCAACGCAGCGGCAATTCGTTCCAACCCCGCATCCAGCCAGGATCGGTGGTCGTCTTTGACGGAAGGATATGCCACCGCGGCCGGGGAAACAATACCCGCGAAGACCGGACCGTTCTGTACATGGTCTGGACTAAGCGGTGGTACAACGATTACTAGATACTACCACACAATGATGCATGCGATGCGATGGATCGAGCATTGTAAATGTTTATCACAACCCAGGCCATGCATTGAAATGTAATTGAGGGCCAAAAATTGGGTTGCGACCCGACCCTATAGTTTTATGTTTACATCATACAGAGTAGAACGCCGTAATGCGGTATGGTTTCTTAGCCTTTGAACGACGGAGCACAGAATACACCTGATCAGATACCTAAGCTACCAATACTAGCAGCAGCTGTAGGCACCAAGTGGCTGCCATGAGCAGCCGTCCGGTCGTTTCCAAAGATGAGGGAGCCGACGGTGAAGCAAGTCCCGAATTTGCTTCCGAAAGGGTGTTCTCGGCTGGCACCGTCGGTTCTGCTGCGCTCCCGCTCGCTTCCTGAATGTCGTCTTCCACGGCGACGGTGTTGTCGTTGCTGTCCTCRGGCTCTGTGGCGGTGGCGGCATCGCACACCGCCGATCCGCACCCGAGCATGGTGCAAGGATCGGGCCCACAGTGTGCCGATGAGGCGTCCATACCGAGCTCCGAGCCGAACCAGTGGCAGGTGTCGACCCCGTTGGCACGAACGGTGGAGACGCAGGATCCGCAGTCGGTTTTGCTACTACAGAGTTCGTYGTCCGCGATGGACTCGTCTGCCATCGCACAGACCACATCCGGTCCGCGGGTCAAATCCGGGGAATTCCCCGCTTCGAAGCAGCTAATGTCGGCAATGATGTTGCACGAGTCGAGGCAACCGAAGCCGGGGGCCCACCCGCAGGTGCTGCTTCCGATAACGTTTTCGTCCGTGAGACATTCCATGCAGGAAGACGCGCCCTTGTCCATGCAGGATGTACTGCTCCCTTCCTGGGCGCTGGCAATTTTGGAAGCTAGGACGACCAAAAGGCAGGGCACCAAGCGAACGAAAGCATCTGGGAAACTTTTCCTTGTCGAGAGGGATGGYGATGATGAAGATCTAGGCATGTTTGTTGTTTTCGCTATTGTTTTTGTTTTTGGCAGTGATGTGTTTCCGATCTCGTTTGCTGCTTTGTGTTTCTGTTTCAGTTTCAGTTTCAGCCTCTGCTTGTTTTTTACGTATAATGATTTGGGTATGTGTTGTGAGAAAAGTAGCATGGAAGAGTTGATTTGTCCAGTTTGTGACATGCCACTGGTACGTACGACCTCTTTTTGACTTCGGTCGCTCGAGAGCGATGCGAGATGTTTTTCGTTATGTGCTACACTAGTCGCACCGTTACCGGTACGACCACTTTCCTCACTCCTAACCGTATTTTCCAGTTGTACGTACTAGTGTAACGGTAACTCGTACGGGAGCCAGGCACGATTGACGATGGGCTTTTTCTTCAACAAAAATTAAACTCCTGATCCAAACAGTTACGAGTATTTCTCGTTGTGACACGGTACCAAGTACTACAGTACCTTCAGCGCCGGTTGGTTGGTTTGAAAGAACACATGAAGTACGAACAGTTCAATTAAAGTACTGTACGTACTGTACGATAGATCTTAGCGTAGGTCCCACGGTACCGTACAGTTGTGATTCCTTTGCAACGGGTTTTTGTGACTGTTGGTTTTTGAAGGGTCATTATTGTTTCAAATCCGTTCATTTATTAAGACAGTGCGATTACTAGTCCTGTCATCGTCCACTGTACCGCTGAACTATTAAAGCTGCCAAAATTCGAAGACATTTTTACACCTGAGCCAGCAATCATAGGGCTTATATAATTTTCTGTACTCGTTTGCTCSCCTTTGAGTCAACAAATCATCGAATGAAACGCTCGATTTCCTACGGTAATATCAGGGACCTTTCCTACCAGTACATAGTCTCTGAAGCAACACGTACCGTACCGTACATCATATTCATATTCAGCAACATACGTATGATACTGTAGGTACCGTTCATAGTTCATATTTCATATGCATGTACCGTATACCGTACTCAATCTGAGATCGCTCCCCCAATCTCGAGATATCGAGAGAAAAAAGAATTATTTCAAGTCAACATTTCATACCTCTACTTGTTAGTTACAGGATAGCAATTTCTGCTTTAGTCGCCACGTTTGTTGCTAATTCGAATCATCCATTGTTTCAATCGAAGAACCGCTTGCGTTTTTTAGTTTTCCGTTTTGCAAGATACGAATACGGCTACTGTTGGTTGCGAAACAATCATGTTCAACAGCATCTCCTGGGGCGAGCTCGCCGTCCTAGGGGGCGTGGGGATGGCAATCACGGGAAAACGCGACCTCCCGAGGGCTTGCCGCTTTGTCGGCCACCAGCTCGGGCGGGTGGTGGGCTTCCTACAGGGTGGGAGGGCCCGTCTCGATTCTTTCGCCCACCAAAATGAGCTTAAGAGCCTGCAAAACGAGCTACGGTCTGGTCTTCGGGAACTGGACCGGGTCAAGACGGAACTAGCGGTGGCGGCAAGCTCGAGGGGGGCACTCGGGCGGGGGCTAGGGCCAACGACAGCTTCCGCGAACCACACCAAGAGCGCTACAATCGATAGCAACAGTAGTCTCGGAATGATCTCAAACCAATATAACAAAAACGATATCATCAACGGGGAGCACAAGACGCTCGATGCTGCGATTCAAAGCGCCATTGCCGGCTCCTCCACCAGCCAGAGAGAGCGCACCGCAGAGCATCCACCGAAACCGCTCGGAATCGAGTTCGATGTGACGATGGTCGAAACGGAACCCGAGAACAATACTATGATCGACAACAAGGGCAACACTGCCCTCTCGCTTTCGCAGCAACACCTGCCGCCAGCCGCGCAGAGCGAGCGGGCAACAATGGAAGAAGAATGGAACAAGCAGGGGATTGGCTTCCGGGCGCGTGCGGAAACCGGATCATGGAACTCAGACGCAACCACCACTTCTGGCGACGAAACCCGCGACACGACACGGGCTACGGGGAGCGAGCTGTTGGAAGACCTAGAGCGCAGCTGCCTGATATTCGATCAATACGATCGGGTGGTGGGGGAACAAGAAGCGGAAACGGAGCGACGGATCAAGCGGATCCGAGACGAACGAACAGACGCAAGGGAGCGAGACAAGTTTCAGTGACCAAAAACTCTAGGGAAGCCGAGGCATGGCAAACGAAACAGTGCGTCACACGCACCCATCGAAAGCAACTAAGCGATCAACAGAGTGATAGCAATCGCAGTTGCAATCGCGACTGAGAAGGATAACTACTTATAGAAACAAAGAATTTTAATGCTGAGCAAACCCATCAAACCTCGTGGGCTAGGATTTTTTAATTGCGTGGTATATGTTTGTGAACGAGTTCGAGTCGATCTAGGCAAGTGTGAATCCAATGCATCTCAATCAATTCATTCCATTCCATGTCGTTTCGTTTGTCAGTTTTCATCGCTACATTTGATTTGGTTGGTTTTGGTTCGTTTGTTGAACGGATCTCAAGCACCGTACGAATAACCAAAGGCCTCCATCAGGGTCGGATTGAGGGATTCGATCGCAAACCGCAGGTCGTCGTCTGTCATGTTGCGAAACCGGGTAGCGTTCGTTCCATACTGAACCATAGCCTGCACGAAGTTTGTGTTTTTGTCTGGCGTTTCGTGGTGGTGGGGCTTAGCCTCAGAAAGGGAGTATTCATAGTTTTTGTTGCGTTGTAGAGGGGCCCCAATCGATGAATCTTCCATACCGATAGCTGTTTCGGAGTTGAGAATCCCCCCACTGCAGTGGCAAACCTTGGCCATCACTTCCCGGGGGTAAAAGAGCGTGTCTTCGAAACGAATGATGAGCCGTGGCCATTTTTGGTTCGGTTGAGGTGAGACGATAGCTGGCTCGCCGCCCTTTTTGTAGGAGTTCTTCGACAAACCACCGGTATAACCATTGTTGGTATCGTCGTTGTAATAATAGGATTCGTACCAGGCGTTCCAATAATGAACCAACGACGGCCATGATGGTCCAACGGTAGGGTTGGGGCCCATCCAAACCGGAACCGAGGAAGTAGTAGCATTGGCTCCGTGTTGCTGTGGCCTTCCAGCAGAAAAGCGCGCTCGATCGAAGTCGTTGGGGACCAGGTTCGGGCAGTGGTGGTTGGAATCGTGGTCCCATCGGACCCCATATCCCTCCTTGCACATGCTCTGCATCCAGTAAAAGGGATCACGGACCAAGACGATGGGCAGAACGTGATTGTGGTCGATCGGGGGACGGCGATTCGTTGACGACGGTGGGAGCAACGTGTGGTTGAAGCGGTAGCTCGCCATCTTGTGCTTGGCCCATGGCACCTGGCTCAGCATGCCATTTGCGTTGCTAACCACCATCCTCCTTTTGCCCCTCCCAAGGCTTTCCTGCCAGTTGCGACCGGCACCGTGCTCGGCMAACCGGCAATTCTTCTGCAAGGAAACCCCAAATGCCGTCGTTCCGGAGTTGAAGCTGCCCGCCACCCCTAAAAACCGATCCTTCGCGGGAACCCTTTCTCGAAAGSCTGCGCACCCCTCCAGTCCAAGAATGACGGGGCCACCAGCTTCCGRTTCGGTGCTTTCACGTGCTTCGAGAACCGTCCGGTCGCTGATAGAATTGTCGCGTTTTCTGCCGCCATSSCTGCTGTAATAGAGTTCCACTACAGAAGACCACAGAGGTAGCTGCACGACATCGCTTGCGTCATATGTTTGGATWCCSGCATCCTCCAATATYGCTAGGATGGGCTCCCTTCCCTTGCGTGCCTCCTCCAAGGTCAGGCTCGAGTTAGCGTCACTCCCTTTCTCTAGTGTACGTCTGGTCAAATAATGGGAGAGAGACCTGGACGACGGCGATTGAGCGGTGACGTTTTTTTCCATGGATGATCCTAGCAATCCTGTTTTGGATCCAATGATGTCGTATTTGGTTCGCCTTTGTTCCTGTTGCTKCTGTTTGATATAGTGGARCTGCATTTCGTGTTCTTCCATTCCTTCCAATTGGTGATGCGCTGCAAAGTACATCGATAAGAAACAAAGGGCAAGTACCAATCGAGGCATCGACGACGAGGCCTTTGCCGCAGCTGATCTTCGTTCTCGGTGGCCTGGAGCAACCACGGTCCTTRTCCTTGCCGTGCTTGTTCGTATGCAACAGAAGGAGAAGAATAGATGCCATGCAGCTAGCAGCAAACGGTGCAGCTGCTGCCGGAGATTTGTAGGTGGCGGTGGCAGTGGCGGTGGCAGTGGCGACGAGCAGGAAGATCCGGGTGGCATAGAAGCTTCTGCCATCGATACCGCTTTGCCGCGATCCACTGTTTCGTGCGCTCGCCTATTTCTGTGTTCCATGYACGCTGCTCCAAAAATAATTGTGATGGCTAGACGATCCTCAGTATTATGATTTGTCGGCACGAATCAACCGCATTTGAAAAATGTCTTTAGCATTCGTTTCGCTCAAAAATATGACTTCGGTACCTACGTACTGCGGAAGTAAATCATCGTCAGTGCCTTGGACTGGTATCGAATGGTACGGTGTTCGTCGACAATACGGATCATCATCTTGTTGTTGTTGTTGTTCGCTGTTGCTGGCTGTTCTCCTTTCTTTTGCAGATGATAACTACGCCAGATTTCTTTACTATTCTAAATTTACCAGTTCCTCAGGCTTAGTAACAAGAACCCAAGAAGAACCCAGCATGTTTGTTGTTCCTACAACGAGTAAAAGCAGTATTTAAGTCAAAAGACGTAGTAGTTTTAGTAGGAGTTAGAAGGAGTTGAGTGCAAACAGGGGCTCTAACAAGAAAGGATCTGGTAGTTGATTGAATGCAGTAGTAGTAGTAGTAGTAGTAGTAGTAGTAGTAGTAGTAGTAAGAAGTACTTGTTCTTACTTGTTCCTCTATTCCACAATGGCCATCCTCTAGTAACACCAAGAAATCTGATTTTCTTGTTGTCCTCTGCCCACCACCAGCAAGAACATACTACTACTAGCAGCAGCAACAACAAGAACAATTGTCCTCTTTTTATTAAGTAATGTTTTGAGGATAGTTGAGTTTCATGAGGAATGATGATGACTAAGTAGTAGTAACAGTACTATTTTATGTGCTTTTTGGACATTCATTTTTAGAGGAAAAAGGAGGAAGTACTAGGATGTAATAGTACTACTACTACTACCTATTATCAGTACTACTAGTAGTACTAGTTCTTGTTGCATGATAGTAGTACTAATAATACTACCAGTAGTAGTACTAGCTAATAGTGTCTGGTATTTTCTGTCTGCTGTGAGGAACAGCATGATGGTGACCATGTTCATGCTGTCTTGGATACTACTACTAGTAGTAGTACTAGTTGTTGTAGCACTGCTAGTATACTACTATGTACTGGTACTATGTAAAAGTTCTTGCAATTGAGTTTTTTTCTGCATATTCTTAGAGAGGCTGTTTCTAGTACTACTACTAGTAGTAGTCCCATTTCAAAGTGCTTCCTCCTTTTCTCTAGTATTTCTTGTTAATTTTTGGAAATTTGTATTGGTATTCCAGCAAGATTGATTCATTTGACCATGTTTCCTTTGTCATAAAATTCACAATAAATTACCAGGTCTTTTGTGGTGCACTAGGACATTGTGAAACGTCTTTTTTGGTGCACTCCTCAAAGCTACCAGACCTATGAGGACTAGTAAGTCAACTACATTGCTGACCTGTAGTAGTTTGCACAAACCACACCTATAGAACAGTATGGTATGCACTAGCAGCTATTCAATGACAGTACCACCAGCAGTAGAAGTAGATTGCGATCATGCAGAAATAAAGACAAGAAAAGGTGTTATTGTATAGGCTTGGCCAAGCAAAAAAAGACGACCCAGTTGTACATTAGCAATGCTTGATATACATAGTACATATATAGTATCAATCAATACTTCTCAGATCCCCTACTCCCCCATGGCATTAGAAAGTTCTTTTAATTCTCTTTTTCACTATGTGCTTCTTTTCTTTATCATGTGTCTGTTGTGGTCAAAGTTACAGCCCAAACTGTCAGTTCAAGACTGAAACAGTTATGTGGTTAAATTACAAGGTGCCTGGATAACCAGCCATCTTTTAATGTGTAAAGACTAGTTAGACTCAATGGATTCCAGTCCCATAACAGACACTCATGGACACTCTGTACCTCAACTGCTATTTTTAGCTCACTAAATTAGGCCACTAATTGTGTGAACTCAGAACTTGGCAATATCCCTCCTTGATTTATTTGTTCTGTTTCCAGTTTATCAGAAGGAACTGTGTCGGAAGCATTTCTCTGCTCTTTTACACAGTGCATTGATCCTATTTCTTTTTCCTAAAATCAATCCCTTGAGGGAGAGTAACCCTGCTAAAAATGGCAGATACTTTAAAAGAAAGAAGAAGAAGCAGCAGGAAAACAACAAGCATACTGAGCACCACCAACAACAAATACTAAAAATGCCAGACTTCTTCCTTGAAGACCTCCATAAGGATGTATATCAATACAAAACAAACAGCTCTCCAGACTCAGTACCCTCACAACACACAGCAATCTGTTCTGCACCAACTGCTTCCACATAAGAAAGGGAATGGGAAACTTYGTAAGGGTGCATTGAAGGCAGCAGCGGAGGCCTTCAAAGTTTCCCGTAGAACTTGTGCAAGAATTTGGAAGTGCAATTTAGAAACTCAGGATGATGAAACATGCCCTGCAGGTGATGTGTCAAACAACAGGTCCAAGTGTGGTAGGAAGGCTAGGCCTACCTCTGATCTTGAAGGAATGAGGGATGTTCCATACAAACAAAGAGGAGATCTAAGGACCTTATCAGCAGCAATCAATATTCCAGTCACCAGTCTGCACCGTCTTGTTAAGAAACGTGGAGCAATCAAGAGATACAGCTGCACTTTGAAGCCTTTCCTAAAAGAAACAAACAAAATGGAAAGGATTTGATTTGCTCTGTCTCATATTGATCACAATGGTGTCTTTGATCCAATGTATGACAAGGTACATGTTGATGAGAAATGGTTCTTCATAAAGGAAGAAGTACTAACAAGCAACACATATCTACTTGATGAAGAGTTTGAACCAGTTGGCAAGACACCGTCAAAGCAGCATATCAAGAAGGTGATGTTTCTATGTGCAACAGCAAGGCCCAGATTTATGGTAAGAAGCTTGGTATCTGGCCTATTGTGGAGTACAGACCAGCGCAGAGATCTTCTGTGAATCGACCCAGAGGTACGATTGAACCCCACCCTATTAATGTCAATGAAGAAGTGTACAGGAAGCTCATGATTGAAAAAGTTCTACCAGCTATTTACAAGAAGTTCCCCAGAGACAACGGTGTTCTTCCAAGTTGTGTAATATAGGAAGACAATGCTAAGCCTCATACGCTCAACACCAGAGCAGCTGTGACAGCTGCAGCTCGTGAGAGGAACTGGAATATTGTTGTGAAGGCCCAAGCACCTAACAGTCCTGACTTTGATGTTCTTGATTTGGGTTTCTTCAATTCTATCCAGAGCCTTCAGCATAAGAAGTGGTCTTCGAACATGGTGGACACATTCTTGATTGCCAATGTGGTGATTGCTGCATTTGAAGAACAATCCAAACGTGAGACTCTAAACAATATATTTTTGTCACTACAGTGTGCAATGGAGTCACTTGGTGTTGGTGGTGACAAGACTTACAAGATTCCACACCTTGGGAAAGAAAAGCTTACTCGTCAAGGGGAGCTTCCGGTACTACTATCAATCACTTGTTGCGACCCAGAAAAGATTCTTGCCTTTGCATGTTCAGTACTGGTAGACTTCAACAACAGTACCAATACTAGTGCTGTATTGGTACCAATAGTAGTAGTAATAGTGCTAATACTCTTAAATACAAATGATAATACAATAGTTGTAGTACATTTAGTACATTTAGTACTTATTCTACACATTCTATAGGGCCATTCCATACTGGACAATTATTTTGGAAAAAATAGAGTACTGCATATTGACCTATTATTCTGGAACGGAGGTAGTAGTACGTAACGTGGGAAGGTTCGTACGTTCTACGATACACTATCACTAGAGTGTTCCATAGTGAAATTGCAGTGACATTTCTGTTTTGAATACGTACGAGTACAGTACTGGGTACTCGTACAACGTTGAACTTTCGTGCATTGTCTGCTACGTACTCGGACGTAGTCCATTACAGTAATTATTTTTATTGAATGGGAATTCCACGCTACGCCGCACGTTGTGTTCGGACTAAGAGCTACAGTAAATGTTCTTGCATGCAAATGCATCGATTCGTAATTTCCAATCTCAACTTCGAAATCCTACTTCCGAACTAATTAATTGTATTATAGCCTCATTCAAAGTTCTAGAAGTTGTTCTCTCGTCGGATATCCACTTAACCAAGTCCTTATGATTACTTAACGCACTGAATACGGCTAGAAATAGGGGATGTCATTACCAGTTCGCTCGGAATTGCAACCACCTCAATCAGCTCATGAGAATTATTATTTGGTGCGAGATAAATAAAATTCTGTTTGCTTTCGAGTTCGACAGACGGATCTCAGGAGACTACTTCCGTACCGTCCAGCAGCGCGGAACATATCTGTAATCATCTGGTTGTCATCCGTGCACTTTCTATTATTATTTTGTTGTTTCATATCCCACGCACGAAAGATTATCGCAGGATCGTTCAGGGATATCGCGATTGTCTTTTTTCTTCACATCTAGTTTTGGGTTTGTCCTGCCCTCTTCAGCTTCTAACATCTTATTCATTAAATTCCGAATGCAAATAGGGTCTTTTAATTGAAATTTGCTGCTGAATTCCTCAATCAGAAGTTAGCTTACACTGGACACACCGGATAGGAACGAAGATGACAGGACGTGTCATTGATATAGGAATTGTACACATGGATTTTGACGCAGACTGTATGGCCAGTGGTCCTTGTTCGGAAAAGGAGATTCGTCCTGAAATGGACGTTTCAGACATTCACCCGAATGGCAATGGAGAGCATGCAAGCGACAGTGTGAAGAAGATGAACGGCAGCTTTTTGGAAACTTCTAAGTTGTCCGTGTTGGCTCTTGCCGATACAACAGTTTTAGCCGAAGATATTTCTGACTGTGACCTCGAAGACGACGAATCGCCTGGTATCGAAGACGAAGATGCTGAAAGGTTTCAGGTGCGTGAAGTCCCTGACACCAAAAGATTGTCTTCGAGTGATCCCGGGAAACTGAAATCTGATGCAAACACCGCGAACCTCGATGGCGGCGATCGAGGAACAATGTCTTGCATGAAAGATAAGCAACCGGCCAAATCGAGCAAGGGCAGACGACTGGGCTTCGCGACGTTGACTGTACGGGAGTATCCACGAGTCCTGGGGGACAACGTCTGCATGATAGGCGCGCCCATAAGCCTCGCCTGGGAACACGATCCCGAAAATGTCCAAATTTATGACCTTGTAGAATACGATGAGGCAGTTAAGAGCACGAGGCGGACTCAAACAGAACTAAAAATGCCCAGCAAGCATCGCGAAAAACTTTTGCGAGAGATGGGATATACTGGAAGAGAAATACAGGAAGCGGTCAAGAAATCAAACATAGCTAGGAACCATCGAAAACGAACGGTAGAGATGTTAAAGATGCAACCTCTTCACGAAGCATTCGAAAAACTAGGCAGGTTTGGAAAGAAGGTTTCGGGGCGCAAAAAAGATGACATCTTGAATTACAAGAAGTCAATATGAAACGCGGAAAGCGCGTAACTAGATACATGAATAGACACCTGCTAATTGGTACCGTATTAAAATATACCAGTGCAAAATGCATATCCTACGTTAACTGTTTGCGGTGATCTTAGAGTAGTTGTTTCACAAATGCAACGTGAACCAAGGCCGAAAAATTCTGCGATCATCCCTTCATATTACTACAAACACAACGTTTTGCATGCTATCAATAAAAAAATTTAATGATCTTACGCTCCGTTGCAGAACTGGAAGTTTCCAATTCTTTCTTTCTCTAGGTTGTGAAATTTGAAATTGTACCAGGGATCATGAGGAAAGCCATAATCGCACGCACTAGCAAGACAGGGTGAACAGCTTACTTTTCCACCATCGTCATTTTTATCATCGCAGGGCCGATGGGACAGATCCGTACGGTATCGCAGCGAAAAAACCGTGAAAAGAGGAAACCGTTTTAGAAACTCTGAAGGGGATGTCTCCGTGTTAGCAACCCGTGTATCGGTATAATTTACTGGAAGGTATTTCAAGCCATCGAAACGGGGCCGGATTGCTTCCGATCTATGGTCAGAACTTTTGTCCCCTACACAAGACTAAAAACATAACCGTACAGTACGTGAAAAGTCGTAAATGTGAAAACAATAGATCATTGTCAAATGTTGGACGGAGACATAAGAACGATAGTTCAGGGATGGCGAACAATTCTTCTTTGTCAATCCTTCTCAGAGTTAAACACGGAGAAAGGAAGTTTTTTTTAGTTTGTACGTAGTAATTTCTTAACGAGATTGTGAAAATGGCACACATAAAATGCGTTTAAATTTTTTCCATTGGGACCTTCTCAAATATAGAAGAACATAAAAATAAAAATTCATAGGACTGGAATGATAGAACGATAAAAGGAGTATACTTTCTGTCTGATCCCCATGACTCGCCTCGTAATTCTGTTTTTCCATTTAAACTTCAAAGTTGATCTTCGTATTGGTTCTACCTACAAACCGCGATTGTTCCATATTCTTCTGATACGGAATTGATAAGTACGCACGTATCGATCACCCAAAGTATTGCATGCACGAACGGGTCACAAAGATGCAAATGCAACAAGCTGTTCTTTGTGTTCTTTTCGCGAACTCCCGAGTAAGGAAGAATACGGTAGGGAACCGTACTACGGGGTAGTTACGGTAGGACGGTGTCGGATGCCAACGCACGGCAGGCACGTGCGTGATGCATTCCTTTTGTGAGCCAGTAACACGTAAATCACGTAGATCACGAGTAGATAGTGAGTGAATAATCACCACGCTGACTCTTTAATTTAAACATCCCTTTATGTGACACTAAGGAGCATACGTACACTTTGCAGGTTATGAGCCTTGGTTGCTGGGACCGTATATACGACTTACAAGTACCTAGCATACATGCGAGCATACCGATCTTACGTATGGTAAGGAACATGGAAGGAACGCGGCGGGGGATTTTTTTTCATCGATCCTTCTGCTCCAGAACAAATCATCTGTTCCATTCGCCTTCTCTTCTCGAACCCGTGGCTTGCGGCGCCAAAGGCAAGCCAAAGCAAGGCCCGAGCAAAACGATGCACTGCACTACGCTACGCTACGGATACCAGCACCATTCCGAGAACGCCAGGTTTGCTTGGGCGGACGGGGGTTCGGCGATGCATCGCACGGCTGCGCATCACGCGGTGTGTGTACAAGTGCGGTACGGGTATCCTACTAGACACAAGCAACAGACGGCATTCCTACCTACTACGGCACGAACTGGTACCATACTGTACGAAACGTTTTTTCTTTTTTCTTTTTACAATCCACAAAACTACCCGGCAGGGTGCGACGGCACGGCGTCGCCACCGCACGCAAACCCTTCCGGCCATCATTCCCGTGCCGCGCCGGATAACCTTCCATTCCACCCGGGAGGAGGAGATCCGTTCCGTTCCGTTTCCCTAGTACACGGTTGCTTTCGCGTCGGGAACCCCCGGGTCCTTTTCGCCGTCCTTCTTGCCCCTGCCCCGTCCAAACCACCGCTTGGTCTTGGCGGCGGGCGGGGTTCCGGTCGTGGGGGCGGCCGCGGCGTCGTCCTTCTTGGACTGCGGCGGCATCACGGGCGGGGGCAGAACCTCTCCCTCGACCACGGCCTCCGCCTGGACGACCTCGCTCTCGTCGTCGTCGTCGTCCTTGCGGTCGATGGGGATCCCCTCCGCCGAGTAGGTCCTCGGCGGTCCGGTGTCCGGTGGGGCCCCGGCGCCCGGTGTGCCTTCGCYGGAAGGCTTCGACGGGCGCTTCGTGCTCTGCCTTCCCGCTTCCGCCGCGGCAAAGGCTTCRTCGTCCGCCGCGTAGTCCTTCTTGTCGCAGCAGCTCGCGCAGCAGACGGTGCAGGAGAGGACCGTCGGGCCGGCAAAGAGGTAGAACCAGCCGAGCCCCAGGACCGCGGACACCCGGTCCCGGGCGTCGCTCCCGCAGCCCCCGGCGCTCCCGTAGTCCTCGGCAAAGTACCCGTTGATGGACCGGCTCGAGCCCACGCAGAGCCACGAAAAGTAAAAGATTGCCACCAGGAGGTACGCGGCGATCCACGGATCGTGGCAGAGCAGGTACCCGATCCGCTCCGTGGCCCGGTGCCTGTGCCGGAGGGCCTCGTCGGTGGCGTTCCCGGTCCTGGCCGCGAGGTAAAATCCCGCGGCCAGGTGGGAGAGGCCCGCCACCAGCATCCCCAGGAGCCACCGGCTCGCCCGGCAGCTCCCCAGGCCGCCCAGCTCCATCGCGGAGAGGACAACGACCGGGAGCTGGACCAGCACCGTGGTCACCACAAAGGACGAGAGGGGGTTCGAACACGAGAGGCCCGAGCAGGCCTTGCAGGGCGCCGTGCAGAGGCACTCGAAAAAGGCCCCGATGGG